TAAACACAATCTCCTCCTCCACCACCACCCTACAGGGTCACCATAAGGTGGCTATAGAGAGAGAGAGAGAGAGAGAGAGAGAGAGAGAGAGAGACTTATTAATATACAAGTGACTGACAGATGGACCACTTCTGGTCCATTGAGGAGGTAACTGGAGAATCTGAGTGTGACACTACATGCGCCCACATCTGAGCCCACACCAGTGGTCCCCTCTCATGCTTCACCAGTGGCAGGGGTGGCCAGGGGCGTAGTGCAGGGGTGCCCTCAGCAGCATGGCTGGGATGTTGGGAAGCATGTCAGCCAGTGAGCAGAAGACACCCACAAATGTGTAGGGTAGCAACAACAACCCCCTTCCCCTTCTGCCCTTTGGGGACCCTGTTCTCCATGTGGGCACTGAGGCAGCTGTGGATTCCCGTGGGGCGGACAGCTCGAACCCCCTCCCCACTGTCAGGTGCTTGGGACTGCTGATGGAAATTAGTCCCTTTAAGAGGGTGGGGTGGTATGCTGCTAAGAACGAGCAAAACCCCTGTGGTCTACCCCCTCTGCCCCTGCCTGTGACAGACGCTGGTCTCCACCCCCTTCCCACATGACCCATGATTGGTTCTGGCTGCCCTGTCCATCACAGCACCACCGCCTCCACTGACTGCAGTGGTGCAGTTGCTATGGACACTACCCCAGTTACACTCAGAAAACACCACAGATCAACTGAATTTGTCTGCTGGCTGCCACATAATTTATCCCCATAGGGAATGGACATGCCATAGTTAAGCCACAGCCAGCCACACCACACAGGTGCAGTAGAGGATTACTCGGCCCATCCTCCAGCTCATAAAGTTTGTCTGAACATCCATCAATCTACTGAATATACCCCTTTTTGGAATACTAAATCCCACACTGAGCAGCACTTGTGAACTTTGTTTGGCAACAGAAGTAGATCTAAGTTGACATCCGTTGAGCTCCTTAATCATTCTTACCAGGCTTGTAGAGCATTACTAACATTTGACTGTCCAGCTGTCCCCTTTTTATTAATCCAACAGAAAGATTTCCTAAATTCAAGGGGATTTTCCCCAACACCATTTTTTATGAACACAAGACAATCACCACTTTTTAACTGGAAAACTCCACACCTCTTCAGTTTTGCAGCCAAGGATAAGCACCTGAGGGGAGGACCAGCAACCACTTCACACCATGACCTTATCGGTCAAGATGACCCTCCTGTTTTCTTGGGAACCAATGCTGAAAACAACATAGAGAGCTCTCCTCTTAATGATACTCTCAAAGAGGACTTAATAAGTTCTTCTGCTGCTCTCTCAGCTTCAGAGCAGACAGCAATCACTGATACTTCGGACCAATTGAGGTAGGCTTGCTTAGTGTTAATACCTCAGATCTCCCTTCCCAGAATTGTGGATGGTGAGGTGGTTTTGGTAAAGGCAACTCTAGCCCAACCTTCCTCTGATTTATTCAACCCTCCAGAGACAACTCTTGTAGATAGTGTGTTCCCCCCCACCCAATGAATATATATTTATACCAATCCCTCCAACAGAGGCAAGGAAAATGAGGTTATATTTAACTGCTGCACTGAAGATTTTAAAATGTGAGCAACAGGGCCTTTGACACAGAATGTAGTGGATAACTCCCCTAACCCCCATCAGTTACATAGGTTGCACGGGAACCTTGGGCAGGGGAACAGACAGGTGTCCGAGAGAACTTCCTTACTGCCTGTGTTGTGTCCTGCTGGCTGGGCTATTCCTGTAAGATGCAGTGGAAGAAGGTATGGTGGTGGAAGGAGATTTGTTTCACAATGGGTGATGCAATACAGAAATGTTCGGATCCCTACTGATTTTTGTCCCATCCCAAGGAATGACAGTGTGCAGGCCCAGTTAATTCCCTTCTCTTCAACAGGGATATCATGTAACACCAGGGCATTAAGAAGTAAGATCACAGTTCTCCGGACTATCCTGGAAAGATGCTATGACCTGGTGTGCTTGATGGAGATCTGAGTGAATGAGGATGAGGTAATTCCCTTCTCCCAGCTTACACCCCCGGGATACTCAATCCCCCATCAACACTGAACTGAAGGATGGGGAGGCATGGAATGGTGATCCTCATCTGAGACTGTTTTCCCTTTCAGAAGATCCGTCTGCGAAACATCACTGTCCTTGAATGTGTTGGCCTGGTTTGGGGTGCTGGAGAGAGGTTAGGAGTCTTGCTGGTGTACCATTTGCCCAGCTCCTACCAGACTCCCTTCTGAGGCTGTCAGAGGCAATGGCTGAGTGGACACTGAGTTTCCCTAGACTGTTGTTTCTTAGGTTCCCTAGACCCAACTCATGTTCACCTAGCAGCAGCTTTAAAAATAAATAAAGGAGAGCCCAAAAAGGTTTGGTATACTGCTTTGCAGGAGGAAGGACTCCTCCCTCCACCACCCAAGCTGTTCTCCCACACAAAAACTGAGCTAGGGAGGAGTTATTCCCCCAGCTTTTCTGCTGCAAAGATACTCTATGTGGAGCAGCAAAACTGGGAACATAACTTCTCTCCAAGTGCAGTTTTTGCATGGGAAAACTGCCTGGAGGGAGGCAGTAGGCCTTCCTCCCCTTGCAATGCTATTACAGGCCCATTTGGGCTCTCCTTATTTATTTATTTATTTATTTATTTTTCACATTTATATCCCACCCATCCCATAAATGGGCTCAGGGCGGGTCACATCATTTCGATAAATACAATAAAATTTAAAACATGTTAAAACATATAAAATCAATAGTCATGCTTGCCGTAGGGAGAATCCAGCCCATATGTCCGGTTATCAGTGGGTGGGAGACAGCAACCTCGGGGGTCCATATGTGGACACCCACTGCCTTAGCCAAAGGCCTGGAGGAACAGCTCCATCTTGCAGGCCCTGCGGAACTGAATAAGATTCCTCAGGGCCCTGATCTCAATAGGGAGCATATTCCACCAGGTGAGGGACAGGGCAGAAAAAGCCCTGGCCCTGGTCGAGGCTAGGCGGATGTCCTTTGGGCCAGGGATCACCAGGAGCCATTCCCCTCAACTACTATATGGCTGCATGGAACACAAGTTGTAGCATACAGTTTAGCCCTTTGTGATCTTGGGGTAGTGACTCTCTCTCAGCTTAACCTACCTCACATTGTCATTCTGAGGACAAAATGAGGAGTGAAGAACCTTGTACACCTCCCTGACCTCCATGGAGGAAGGGCAAAATAGACTAAATAGATACTGAGAAAACATGGTATTGCCGTGATTGGCTCCAGTTTCTCCTTGCATCATTGATTAAATTATATACACAGTGAACAACTTTTTAAAACAGTTTACCGTAACTCTTGTTCTGTATTTCTACCTTTATTTCTGGTTCAGATCAGTACTTCTTTTCATTGAGTAAATGTACATTTATTTAACTTTTCTTTATATTAAAAAATCACTTCTCAGACAAATTCACTCAAACGGTCCCAGATTATAAACTGTGTATCTGAGAGCCACTTTTTGTGTGTGTTCCCTCTCGCCACATAGTCTGGGATTTCCTTGCTCAAAGCTGAATTCCTAGGCATGCCCAGGCCCAATTTGGACAGGGACCACATCATGTAGAAAGAGGGGGCTTAAACCTTCCTCTTACACATAATCTTCCCTACCTGAAAGCCATACGTCATAAAGACAGACTACTTTCCTCCAAAGAATTTTCAAAATGTTCTGATAATATTGCTCTCTTACTTGAAAGTTTTTTCAGTACATTTAAATGAAACACTTCAAATGAGATTTGCTTTATAAATAAGATATTAAGATATTTGATATCTGAAACCCATCAAGAAATACAGGTTAATATGTTATAATGATCACTGAGAATTGATTATAACTGCCTACATAGTATTTAGAATTTCCCCATCAAATGTACAATACTTACAGCAGGTTTAATTTGGTTAATCCTGGTTTTCAGGGAAAAAGTCATTGTAGCCCCTCCTACTCCAGTTGAAGTTTTTGAAACAAGTAACAACATCGCTTCGGCAGGATGCAGGAAACGGCTAGTGAATTCCACCTTTATACTTATTTGGCTCCTAAAAAGAAATAGTATATTGTTAAATGAATAATATCAGAGGCATATAGAAACAACTGAGCTTTAGTATAGCTCATACTATGGCACATTTACCACAAGGAACTACTAAGTGGTGCAAACAAACTCTGAAAAGTTTGTATTGAATAAAAAAAATTAACAGAATACAAGAAAACTGTTTTTCAGTGTGACAGGTATCTTAAGCAGCTTTACCCCCATTAGATACCCACATACTTCAAGTTCTCCAAGACATATAGGGAAAGCAAGAACCATTCCACCCCCTTCTACAAAAGAAATAAAGTATTTCAAGTATGGATCTAGATTCCATCGGAAAGCAAAAGGTCTGAGATCAACACCTATGCAGATTCTGGTAGAGATGGAATTCAAATCCATCATTATGAAAAATTATAAATGATCACTGTTAACTTGTATTATTCTAAAATGTACACTATTCTGAAAACTCTACCCATCCTTTCTTTTCTATCCAGTTCTGTACCATGTACAATGTAGCAGTTGTGATGGTACATGATTCTACTTGAGATACAGCAGCTGAAGCCCAGCATAGAGTCTGGCTGAAAAACCAACTATCTATAAAATGAGTATTGTTATAATTGCTATTATTTTTACGCACTTCACCTGTGTCCTAGCTCATTATTTCTGATACAAAAGAAACTGAACATCTTCTAATGAACAGTATTGTTCAACCTTAATATGAGTTCATCCCATATATGAAGCACAGAAGGCACCATCCTCTGCTGGGTGAGCCTTCAATTATGTAAGGCTCCTCCTTGCCAGAGGTGCAAGCCTTTGGTGTGAGCCGAAGGGCGACAGTTCACGGGCTCTTGCCCTGTGGCTCTTAGCCTGGGGGCCCTGTAGGAACCTGGGTAGCCCTTATATCCTGTATCTGTAAAGCTTTTTTTGCTTGTGCAAACCTTTCACAAGTAGTAGTGAGAGGCAATTTGGCAGGGGAGTTATCAGGGAAGTGCAAGTTAAACTGAGCTAATTTTGAAATGGATTGCAGCAGTATGGCTGGTGAGAGAGCTGAGGCAGTGATGTGCAAAGTCTGTGGCATGTTCGTATTTTACCTGAGGGTAACAGCAATTAAACCTGTAGCAAGTGTAAGGCTGCAGTCACACAGACTAAATAATCCACTTTCCAACTGGATTTTGCCAGTTCACACAGTAAAATCCAGTTGGAAAGTGCACTGAAAGTGGATTATTTAGTGTGTGTGACCACAGCCTAAGTTGGTAGCCCTATTGGAGGAGAAGATACAGGGACTTGAGTCACACTTGTCCACACTCTAGTTTATAAGGGAAGGTGAAGATTTCATGGACAGAACACTTGAAGCACTCCTGAGTGGGCAACAGGAGGAGGAAGGAAAGGCAATACATGGGAAGGGTACATGGAAGAATGTAACCCACGGGAGCAGGAAAATCAGGAGACATTCTGAGCCTCTGTTGCTAAGCAATCAGTTCCCGGATCTCTTCACAGATATTGATTCTGGACCACTGGAACAAGGGCTCCTCCCCCAGCCTCCACAAAGCTTGAAGGAAATTTCTCAGGCCCCTGTGGATGACAGGACTTAAGCCTCTGCTCCCCAATATAGAAGGGGATTCCCTACTGAGAGCAGTAGAAGCTAAAGTGTGCCAACCAGACTTGTCGTCTCAAGAGGTATGCTGTCTACAGGATGTGACAGAAAGGGTAGGAAGACTAATCAAACCCATGGATTATTATAGTTTCTTGCTCATGCATGTGGAAACAGATGATACTTCCTGGTACAGTCCAGACCATATTAAAAGAGACTATGTGGCTCTGGGTAAAAAGCTGAAGGACCTGGGAGCACAGATTGTGTTTTCGTTAGTTCTTCCTGTCAAAGGCCGTGGGTTAGAAAAGGAAAGAAGAATACTGCAAATAAATGACTGGCTACGTAGATGGTGTCATCAGGAAAGGTTTGGATTTTCGGACCATGACTTATGATTTCGAGATGAAGCTCTTCTATCGGGAGATGGTTTGCACCTCATGAGGGTAGGAAAAAATGTGTTTGGAAACAGCCTTGCAAACCTAATAAGGAGGGCTTTAAACTAAATCTAAAGTTAATGTCAAGCCTAGAATTCAGACTTTGCACTGGTACAAGACAGTTGTAAGTAACTTTAAATAACTCTAAAGATATTACTCCTAAGTACATTATGTTAAAGGAGAGCACGCAGCAGTCTAACAGTTACACCACAGCACAAATACAGAATACCAACCAGGGCATCATTTGAAGGATAAATTGAACACAGGTGGACAAAACAGAACAAAAACAAACAGAAAAAGATAAGCTTTAATATATTGCTGGAATGGCTCCTTTGCTCTTTGATGAATTTAAGTCCTCCATCTTATGATTTCCCCCCCCTCTCCAATGTATTCTCCTTTATGTTTAGATTAGAATGGAACTTAAAAAGACAATGTGCTTCTTCACAGAATACTCATCCCATGTTTTCAAAGACCCTGTCCACACAGGAGAACTGGGAGTACGTCTTGGCACACGTACTTTCTCCCCCAACCAAATAAAGTATCAATCCTAAACTAAACTAAAACTGTCAACACAAAACTGAGAGTTACTTACTTTGGGGCAATGGCCACAGTATTTCCTTTAGGTAATGAAAAATCAGCAGAATCTCTTCCTAAGATGGTAGCATTGTATATCAAAGGCTTGATACTTGGGTTTTTCAAATGCATCTATTGAAAAAATACAGCATTTAAGAATATTTGTTTTGACATTACAACATGGCATAACACTTCAGACTGTTAACTGTACTTGTGACTGGTAGAGTCATGAATACGATCTAATAGATGGCTGTTAACCTTTGAACACCCATATTGCAGAGCACAGCAAATAGCAATTTCCCCATTATCTGAGGAAAGAACTACATTTTGCTCGCACCAAAATACCATGGCTTTGAGTGGTAGGAAATTGCAATATACGCCAATAATAATATTTATAAAGTATTTTTATCAAAGTGTCTCCCATACCTCATCTGAGGCAGTACTTGAAGCTAGGTAGGACAGTATTTCAATTCTTTTTGGAAAAACCTGAACAGTCCCACTTTTTTTAATGGATGAAAAATATCTTATTTTGGAGGAGGGTCGCACCAGAGTTGCAAAAAAATCTCTAAGAAAATTATCGTGCCTGTCTGGGCCATATTATCTACAACGAGTCTCTGCAAAGTTAAGGGCTTTTACTGGTGGAGAAAGATACAGCTATATTGGGGCAAGACTAGATTGGAATACTCTGAATTCTCAATGGTCAGAAAAGAGACACGTTTTGCCTCTCCACCTGCATTGAGAAAGTGCACACAAGAATATGTGGAAACTTTTTGCCTAATACTAGAAACAAAACCAAAAAATGAGATCCTCAATAACCAAGACACCAAACAAATAACCAAAGTAACTTGGAAAAGTTGTATTAACAGCAGGATAAATTATATCCAAGGAAGACCTTCATCAAATACAAATCTAATACAAAGTGAATGAAACAATGCTGTAGATGACAATGAATACATACAACACGGTTGCACTTCCTTGTAACTAATGCTGTTGTTGTTGTTCAGTCGCACAGTCAAGTCTGACTCTTCGCGACCCAACTGACCACATCACACCAGGCCCTCCTGTCTTCCGTCATGCTCTGGAGTTTGCTTAATTTCATGTTAGTTGCATTGATAACACTGTCTAACCATCTCATTCTTTGCTGTCCCCTTCTTCTTTGACTAATGTTAATCGAGGTCTTCTGTGCAGGCACCCATTGGGACTGCACATGTGCAGGCCTACCACACCTAGGTATTCGTCCAGCTTAGAATCATTAGGGGGTGATCACATGCTGGTTGGAGCCATTGTGTTCATTTTCCTCCCAATGGTCACATTGTCTAATGGCATGCCACCCTGACTCCCTCAGTTCCAGTTCCATCCATGACCCCAAGATTAATTAAGCTCATAGCGGGGCAGGTGGGAGGGTATGTGTGTCTGCACAGAAAACCTCAATGAACATTAGTTACAAGTAACAGCAACCCTGTTTTCATCTTTGTCTTCTGTGCAGTCCCACAGAGATTTTCGCAAGCTAGTCACTCAGGCAGTGGGGCAAGCTCTTTAATAAATATTTTTATTGAAATATTTTATTGAAACATCAATTGTAAAACAGCTTTGCCTGCTGATGCTTCTCTTTTTGCATTCAGGTCTAACACATAATGTCTCCCAATGGTGTCAGTGGATGACCAAGTTGCAGCTCTGAAGATCTCTCTTACTGGGACTCCTCTGAGGAAGACTGCTGATGACACCTGCACTCTAGTGGAATGTGTATGTACCACCAATGGACATGGTACCCCTAACTTACAGTAATAAATTCTTATTGCTGACATTCTAGACAATATTTGAGATGACGCTGTTTTCCCTTTTGAAGGACCTGAATAACAAATAAAGACTTATCTTTCCTAAACTCCTTTGCCCTTTCCAAATAAAACCAATGTATGCAATCTTTTTTCTGCCTCTAAAATGGGTGAGGGGAAAAATACCGATAAAATAATCTCTTGTGTAAAATGAAATTTTGACACACCTTTTGGGAGAAATTGTAAGATAGGTCTCATCACAACCCTCTCCTGAAATACCTTAAGGAAAAGGCAGTCTGCATGAAGAAGAAGAAGAAGATATTGGATTTATACCCTGCCCTTCACTACCCAGGGAGTCTCAGAGCGGCTTACAAACTCCTTTTCCTTCCCCTCCCCACAACAGACACCCTGTGAGGTAGGTGGGGTTGAGAGAGCTCTGACAGAAACTGCTCTTTTTCAAGAACAGCTCTTATCAGAACTATGGCTTGCCCAAGGTCATCCAGCAGGTGCAAGTGGAGGAATGGGGAATCAAACCCGGTTCTCCCAGATTAGAGTCCGTGCACTTAACCACTACACCAAACTGGCTCCCGAAGTGCTACTAATTCACTCACTCATGTCACTTATATATTGCCTCAGTAATATAATTGCTATCAGAAAACATACTTTCATTAATACATATTCTAAAGAAATCACAGCCAAAACTCAATGGGGCTTAGCCATCAACTGAGTCAAAACAAACAAAAAAGACCATTGTTGAATCAACACTGGCTTAGGAAGATTAAATAAATAAAGGAGACTTTAAGAGATTTCTTAGACAAACTGTAAGAAAAAAACCACTGACCCAGAACCTTTGGGTAAAAGGCTGAAAATGCTGCTAAGTATACTTGAACTGAAGAATAAGACGAGCCCTTCCTCCTCAATTCAAGTAAATAATCTAAAATGAGAGACAGAGGTGCCCATTCAAGTAAAATACATCTACTCAAGATCCATTCCACAAAATGAGCCCATTTATTGTTATATGAACTCCTCATGGCTGGCTTTCTCACGTATTAATACATCTTTAACTTGTGAGGAGCATCCCAACTTCTGGGAAGGATCTTCCAAACTGTCAAATGTAAATTGGTCAGGTTGTGATGCCCTATACTCAGTAGATCGGGTATTGTTGGTAAATGAGTGTACATTCCCTTTGACATTTGTCTGAGAGCCTGGAAAACCACATCTGGTGTGGCTAAAATGAGGCAACCAGAATTAGATCTTTATCTTCCCACATGACCTTGGATATAACTCTCCCTATCAGGGGAATGGGAGGGAAAGTGTAAAACTATTCCCCTTTCCATTGGAGCTGAAAGGCATCCCCCAGAGAAAAAGGACTCCTCCCTGCAACGGAGCAAAACTGTGGAGTGTCTGCATTTTCTCTTGTTACAAATAAGTCCACCTGAGGAAAACCCCATCTCTGGAATACAGGTATCTAATACTGGTATCTTATAGACCATTTGTGGGTTGTTGGCGAAGTCCTGATGAGCTGATCTGCTTGTATATTTTGAGAAGCATGCCGTTGGACCATGTGACTGCTGGGAAGGAAACAGACACTATGGCAGGCCTGCACATGCGCAGTCCCAATGTGGGACTGTACAGAAGACCAAGATGAAAACATAGATTTTCATTTCATGTGTCTATTGTAAAACAATGCAGAAATAGTAAAAACTTCCATATGCTAAACATTTGGAAGCACCTGCATAACATTCTGAAATATTAATAAATATTATTACATATATATTATATATCTGACCTTGAACCATTCCAAACCACATTCTGTCATTCTACATTGCATTAGATTTGTATTTTATGATAACTGTAACTGTGTTTGATGACAATCTTCCTCGGATATAATTAATACAGTTGTTAATAACCTTTTAAAAAGTCCTTTGTTGGTTGTTTGATATATAATATTAGGTGATATTTATTAACACTTTTACTTCAGTCTTGGTAAATGACCAATGATTTCAATGTACAAAGATCCAATTCAAGCTTGTTAGCAAATGGTTTATGCAACAGTTATATACTCAAAGATTCTGATTGGACCACAAACTAAACTGATTCTGGTCTAATTTGAAGTGAAACTACTCCACTTCCTTTTCTCTCCCACTTTAAGACGTTATCTCAGGAATCCCTACAACAAATGTATAAAGTATACTAATATTCTAGAAGGGAGCCGAAGCCATAGAAATAATGGCTTGTTTATCCTAATGAAGGGAGTACAAGCATGAGCAATAAACTAGGGACTCATGAGTTCATGATTTTTAGTCCATGATCACAACTTCATGACCTTAAGACACAGAAGAGAATGCCTCCTGGAAGCAATGGAGAAACACCATTTCTTAGGTCAGTAGATAATAGTCTGATTGGTAGGTCAGAATTTGGTATTAAGCTTAAAGTTTCATTATATTAAGCATCTTGTTCTCTGATTATGACTTCTTTTATGTTGCTTTATTTTCTGCTCCAATTTTATGTTTCACTTCAGCTCTAAAATAGATCTGATAATTGGGCTCAGAGAAATTCCTAAATGATTATTCCCAGTTAACCCCACTGATTCAAGATCTCTGTTGTGTTTACCCTCTCCAAAAATGATAACCCAGAAAAGATATTCCCAGATCCATATTACAGCTGTATGTTCAGTCAGGAGCTATTCTAAACTTGAAGATAACAATACCAGTACCTTCCTAACAACAGTAGCATGAAGTGGACCAGAGAACTCAATATATTTCTTGGATAAGTATTGAGGAAGCCGCTCGTATAGATAGACACAAAGCATAAGCATCATGATTGGATTTGGATCACAGATATCAGAAGCCTAAGTGTAAAAGACAAATAAAGACAGTATAAATTAATGAAGAAAATGAAATAAAACTGTTTATCAATGGATGAGCTGCAGTTTCAAATATCAGTTTGACTATTCTCTTTTCATACTTAAAGCACTATTGGGTTTTTTAAAATTGTGGTTCAAGGCAACTGGAGTTGGCAGCTAAATTGTATTTTTTAATTAAAACATTTATACCCAACCTTTCCTTGTGGTTCAAGGCAACTGGAGTTGGCAGCAGAACTGTCACTTGGCAGAAACCTGACTTGACAGCAGAACTAAACTGAAACTTACAAATACTGAGTATATAAATGTATTTCATTGAAGACTACTCACTAAATTTTATTTTCAGTCTGCCGCAAGTCCCTTGAATAATGCCTGATTAATGCAGAGGGTGTGGATAAGGAAGCTGCCGATGAAGCTTGGGCCCTCGTGAAGTGAGCCTTCAAAGAGCAAGGCACTTTTGGCTTCACTGTAAACTGTCCTAATAGCAGAGACTACCCATCCGGACAGTGACTGAGCTGATGCAGCCTTACCCTTATAAGCCCCCTTAAAACAGATAACCATAGGTTCAAAAGGTTTATCCATTAACTTGGTTAGAACCAATGACAAGCTCCATTGAGGAACAGGGGGTATAACAGGTGGAACGATATTATGCAAGCCCTTAAGAAACCTTCTGGATTTGGGAACAGAAAACACTGAGCACACTTTAACTAATCCGTGATACACCAAAATGGCTGCCAGGTGCACCTTTACAGAAGATGATGCAAGAACACCATCTTTTAAAATTAGTAGGCAATCAAATACCTTTTCTAGCTCACATGAGCAGAGGTCAATCCCTTGCTCGTTAGCCCATATAGAGAACCTTTTCCACTTTGATGCATAGGATTTTCTTGTAGTGGGTTTTCTAGAGGCTATTATGACTTTTTCCACCCTTTGAGAAAAATTAACTACAGCTGAATTAACCATACCATCAGGTGTTCTGACCTTACATCTGAGTGATGTACTGGCCCTATGTGAAGGAGTACCTCTGCTGGAGGTAGAACTCTGTGAATTCTTTTCGCTAATCTCCACAGTGTGGGGAACCACACCTGCCTAGGCCAGTATGGGGACAGCAGAATGCACAAGGTTCCCTCTACTTTGAAATCACTTTGAGGAACATTCCAAAAGGAGGAAAAGCATAATAGAGATGGCCATGCCATTGCAACTGGAAAGTATCCCCAATTGACAGCTCTACCAGGACTGCCCTGGAACAAAACAGATGACACTTGGTGTTGGTTGTGGATGCAAAGGGGTTTCCCACTCTCTGAAAATTGGGGACAGGTGGTGGTCTGATATGGACCATTCTTAGTTCATGTCTGTGTCCCTGTTTAATTTGTCCACTAAGGTGTTGTCAAGGCCTGCTATGTGAATGGCCATGAGATGAACTCTGCACCTTATTGTCCATTGCCAGATGAGTGTCACCTCTCTGTAGAGGTGGACCCCTCCTGTGTCAGATAAAACTTTGCTGTCACATTGTCCGTAGCTAGCAGAACATGCCATCCTCTGATGATTTCTGTAAAAGAAGTGTGAACATGTCTAATAGCCCTCAACACTAATAAGTTGGTGTGGAGTCTAGTTTCCCTCTCAGATCATGAACTCTTCACATCCAACCCATCACAGTGAGCCCTCCAATCTATGAGGGAAGCATATGTGAACACCTGAATGTCATGGGAATGCATCCCCAATGGGATCCCTTCAAGCAGATGCTGCAGCCCAGACCACCAAACTAAGGATCTCAGGATGACTCTTGTTGTTGTTCAGTCGCACGCCAGGCCCTCCTGTCTTCCGCCGTCCTCTGAAGTTTGCTCAATTTCATTTTTGTTGCATCTATGACACTGTCTAACCATCTCATCCTTCAGGATGACTCTAGGGACCAATAATTTCTTCTACTGAGGCTCTGTACTGGCACTGAATTTTCTTAGAAACTAGTTCTGGAGTGGCATCATGTACAGCCTAGTGTGTGGCACTACTACAGTGGTAGAAGCCATGTAACCTAAAAGCTTCTGGTTGCATTTTTCCATTTGGATTCTGTTAGACAGAAACCTCCTGATTAGGGCCCAAGTTGTGTTAGTGCTTCAATTGGCCAGGTACACTTTCTTTTTAGTGAAATCAAGGGATGCCCCTATGAAATCTATAGATTGGACAGGAGATAGGCAGGATTTCTCCCAATTGACCAGGAACCCAAGTCCTGCAGGATGTCAAGGGCAAACTGAAAGTTCATGGTTAACTTATCTTCCACAAAAAGCCAGTTGTTGAGATACAGGTAGACAGTGGCAGTCCCTTAATCACAGGTAAGAAATCACCACTAAAGCACAGTCTGTGAACACCCTAGGGGCTGTGGCCAATCCGAATGGTAGAACTGTGTATTCATAAGTGACTGCTTCATATCTGAAACTCAGAAACCTCCTGCATGCCTCATGGATTGAAATGTGAAGGTATGAATCTTTCAAATCCAATGTAGCAAACCACAGGTTAGTGTCTAAGAGGGGCAACACTTCGAGAATGGATAACGTCCTGAATTTTGAAATACGCAAATGCTTATTTAGGGCCCTCAGATCCAGGATGGTCTCTTCCCACCTCCTTTCTTGTCAATTGCAAAATATCTGGAGAAAAACATTTAAGCAACTTCTTGTTTGTTAGGTTAGGCAGGGTTCTGACAGTGACTGTTCCACCTTTGTTATACTTGACCTGTAATGCTGATTGTCATATTTCACTTAAAAAACCAAGTAGACTGCAAAAGTTTTTTTCTCTCCTAAGTGCTGGTATATTTTCTAAGGGTTAGTACAAGATGATGATCCACGCCCAGGTCTATCAATATAGTGGACTGATGTGGGTTGACCTGTTCTCCGGAGGCCAGGTCTACCAATATAGTGGAAAGGAGCAGGAAGATATGTTCTCCAGAGGCCTGGTCTACCCCTGTAGAGGACAACATTTTGTGTAATGAAATTTGACTTGATTCTGTTTTATCTTATAATGTTTAAATTATTCTTAAAATATATTTTAAAGATAGTTTAAAAGAATTCATTCTGAGATTTTACCAGGTTATGGAAATAATCTAAAAATAATGTATGCAATAGTCAAATGAAGATTTGCTCACAACTTTAATGCTACCAGCTATTTTTGCTCATGAGGTAGAATTTTTGCTCACAACACTGTGGAGCTTAGAGGGAACATTGGTCATGACCCTTGGATGGGATGTCCTCCATCTTTGCTCTTGTGTCCTGTGGGAGGGCTGACGATTGCAGCCATGAATGTCTTCTCACGACTATCTCAGAGGCCATGGCCCTACTATTACAGTCAGTCACATTCCTGGCATTGAGCTGTTGCTTGCCTAGTTTTTGACTCTCTGGTATCAGGACTTTAGCTATGTCTTGTTTGTCATCAGGTAACATTTCAACAAGCTGTGTCATCTTTTCCCACAACAGCATTTGGTAATGGCACATTATTGCCAGAAGATTTGCCACTCGCAGTCCCATTGCCCCAGGAGAGTAGATCTTCCTCCCCAAATAGTACAACCATCAGCCTTCCTTTCAAAGAGGAGAAGAGCGGCTTCCAGCTCTTCCTCTGGTGGGGAGAATCTCTGACACCAGAGAGTTTGCTTGTGGGTGGCAGAAAAGGTGGTCACAGACATATTCTCTAACCTTGTTTAGATTCTGCAACTTCTTTGCTGAAGCTAGAACTGAAGTAGGGTTAGTCCATACCTCCAAGGCTATATCTTACACATGAATACATATGAAACTGCCTTATATTTAATCAGGCCACTGGTCCACCAATGTCAGTATTGCCTACACAGACTGGCAGTGGATCTCCAGAGTCTCAGGTCTTTTACATCACATAGGCATCTGGTTCCCTTCCTCGAACGAAATGACTTGGCAACAGTGATTCACGCTGTAGTCACCTCAAGACTGGATTACTGTAATGCCCTCTACATGAGGCTGCCCTTGGCCCAAATCCGGAAACTGCAGCTAGTGCAGAATGCAGCGGTGAGGCTGTTGTGTCGTCCTGTGCGGGAACACATCCAGCCCACCCTAAAAGAACTGCACTGGCTGCCTATAGCATACCAGATTTGGTTCAAGGTGATGGTTATTAGCTTTAAAGCCCTTTATGGCCAGGGACCTGCATACCTGAAGGACCACCTTTCCCCATATGTTCCCCAGAGAGCACGGAGATCTGAGACCCAGAATCAGCTGGTCCTCCCTAACATCAAGGAAAACAGGCTTGCGTCAACGAGGGCCAGGACTTTCTCGGTGGTGGCTCCATTCTGGTGAAATGAGCTCCCGGAGGAGATCAGGGCCCTGCGGGACCTGTTACAGTACCACAGGGCCTGTAAAACAGAGCTCTTCCGCCAGGCTTTTGGAGCCGCCACCACCATTGCCACCACTGACATCTGACAGTTCTTGGAGAGCGAGCCCGATCCCCCAGATCCCCTAAGTATAGCCTGACCCAAGTGCCTGGAACACCTGTGGTAGATCATGAAGCTGACTGTGCCCTGAGGAGTTAATGCTAGCACTTTAAGTTGTATACTTATGCTTGATTGGGTTTTATTATTTGATTGGGTTTTATTATTTATTGTACTGTTTTATATTGCTGTAAGCTGCCCTGAGCCGGCCTTGCTGGGAGGGCGATCTAATAAATAAATAAATAAATAAATAAATAAAATACTGCCTGGCCCTTTTAACAGGAGATGCCAGGGATTGAACCCTGGGACCTTCTACATGCAAAGCAGAGGCTCTTCCACTGAGCCACAGTCCCTCCCCTTTTGAATGCCCTGAATCATTGCAGTGCAACGGGTCCAGATTCAGGGTTCTACAAGACCTTCATCATTGTGTTTGTCAGCTGTGGTTCTGCTGAGTGTACTCTAGATCCAGAGCCTAGTCCATTCACACAAGCTGTTCAGAATACAGTTTCAGATCCTCCGGGGGGGCATGGAAGTGTTTCTGAAGTTTGGTAGAGACCTTCTTCTGAGTTAGAACCCTGATGGCAAGATTTCACCAGCGGTTGGTATCATTGGTAGTGCTCTCTTTTAGATCTGGAGCTAGATTTGGAGGGTTGCCAAGGGCCAGGGTCCTGCATTTCAGACATCATCAGCTCTTGCCCTTTTCTGTGACTGGGCCTGTTTTTCCCTGAGGGGGTCTGGGGCACCCAAGGCTTTCTCCCAAAGTGCAGCTTTAAGCCTTGCTGCTCTGCCTTCATGGGCCTTTGGGGTGAGTCAGCTACAGGTGGGGCAAGAAGAGGTATTGTGGCCCTCCCAAAGCACAGGAGACACAACTTATGGTCATCATTTGGGGGTATTTTTGTCCCACAATCCTCACACTTTCTAAAAAGTGCCATCCTACCCATCTCAAAGATCACTTTGAAGACAGCTCTGATAGATGATTTAGCTCAAAACAGTCTTGGACAAACCAGCAAAGCAGCTCAAGAAAGCTAGTCCTCTGCTCACGGCAGCAAGAAGGGAACTGAGAGAACTGTTCTCCTCACCTCTGTCATGTGATCCTTTGGGTGGGAAAAATATATCTGTAGATGGAGGGGGGAGCACTCCTAACATCTAGAATATTTTTTTAAAAGCTTGGAAGCTCTTCTCTGCAGCTGGCCTGCAATCATGAGGGGACTGGACAAACATATGGAGCAGAGGCCAATCTGTGGCTATTAGCTGCAAGGTACAGGTGGAGCACTATGTCTGGAGATGTGATGCTCTGTGTTCTTGGTGCTTGGGGGCAACAGTGGGCGGGCTTCTGAAATACTGACCCTGCTGGTGGACCTCCTGATGGCTCATGGGTTTTAACCACTATGTGACACAGAGTGTTGGACTGGATGGCCCTTTGGCCTGATCCAACATCACTTCTCAGTAAAGGATCCTGAGGAGCCAAGGCTGAGGAAGAGCAGAGGGACCATGGAGGTCCTAGCCCTGTAGAGGTGCCTACCGAGGATGTACCAGCAGCACCAGAGGCCACCCTGACAGAGCCTGCAAAGGAAACTTTGCCACTGGCCCCTCAGCTGCTAGGCCTTCACCAGCTAGAACAAGCCTGGGCCTGTAACTCCTCAGGACCCTTTCCCACTCCATAGGAATGGTGGTGGCAAAAGGTCCGTTCGCGGGGAGGGTGGGGTATAAATACAAAAATACAAAAATAAATACATTTTTAAAAGGCCCAGGCCCAGGTGGTACAAAGGAGGCAAAGTGCCAGACTGGCTGGGCACAACCTTCAGAGTGCTAAGGCTAGTACTTCCATGCAGGATCCTGGCCAGTCTGCAAGCCTTAGGAATTTAGCGCCTGCCAGTAGTGCATCTGAGCCCAATTACCTCCCAGCCTACTTAAGCTGAGCCCTGGGAAGACAGCCATGCTGGATCAACCATTCTGCCAGGCAGAAGCCTTGTATTACCAGCTCTCCAAGACTGACCAGTCCCAGTCCCAAGGATCTGGGACCACTTGACTGCAGAGCATACAACAGCTGCCACCACACAAGCCACAGCTATCTAAGCAACCTCTATCCTAATGCATATTAGCACACCAGAACCTCATTCGTCTGTCACAAACTACAGATGACAGCTTACCAACCTGTAACTTCCCCAGGGTAGTGTGCAGATATAATCAAGTGGATGGGGAGTTGTTACCTGTAGTATTCACCCAACTAGTGAAAAGAATTTTACCATACCAGATTTGTGATCAGATACAATTGTCTTGCTAAATGTTCCTCACCATATGAGCAAACACTACAGATAACAGGCCGTCTGCCCTCTGTAAGCAGCCACTTCTGTTCACATTGTTTGTTTTTTGGCAGTGACAATATACCACCGCAAAGTACAATATCACTCTCTGACAGCCTGCATAGAACATGTGGGCATCTTATGGGTGTTGCCACACACCCATAAACACAAACACACACATACAAAGCAGCCTATATTTTAAAACCCCTTGCTACATACTTCACCACAGAACCAAAAGTTCCTTATTTAACAAAGGTACTACACACAGAAAGTTTCTCAGAAACTGGTATATAGTAATACATGTTGGTCAACTAGCACAGGACAAAGAGTAAGTAACCCAATTCAGGAATAGGGTCAGAGTCTTGTAATGTGCACTAAATGGACAAAACACACCAGGTAGCAAAGAAACACATACATTTTAAATGCATAGGCTGGCTGCCATCTTGTACACACATGAGTTATAGTTGACAGTTCTATACAGACAACACACAATGAGGAAAAATAATTGTATTTGGCATGCATGGTGCTTATGTCTGCAGTCTTGCACATATAATTTTTGTAGTGCTAATATATACAACTAGGAGCTGCGGTGGCTCAAGTGGTTAAGACGCTGAACTGCAGGCTGTGGAAGGTCGGTAGTTCAGCAGACCCAGGTTGCTGCATGACGGAGTGAGCTCCCGTCTCTAGTTCCAACTCCTGCCAACCTAGCAGTTCGAAAGCAAGAAATTGCAAGTAGATAAATAGGTACCACTTCGGTGGGAAGGTAACAGCGTTCCGTGCGCCTTGGTGTTTAGTCATGCCGGCCACATGACCACGGAAACGTCTTTGGACAGCGCTGGCTCTTCGGCATTGAAACGGAGATGAGCACCGCAACCCTAGAGTCGGACTCGACTGGCTTTCGGGCAAGGGAACCTTTACCTTTAATATATACAATCAAACTCTAGATTTTAAAATGCTCTAATTTTCTATGTGGCGGCATTGTCTTATTCACTGAGGTTCATACAAGTCTATGAATTAAACAAACAGAGTACTGTTATTTCAAGTAGTTTTACTCACTGCATTTTAACAGTGCATTACAAAGTCTACTCCAAATAATCCTTCTTCAGGCAACATTTTTTAAAATGCGGTATGAAATACATATAAACAACAAAAATTTCAATAGAACATGACCACTTACCAGCACATCTATGTCAAGATTTATTGCATGAAAAGCATTTATAAGAACCAAACAATTGTGAAAATACTGTTCAGAAGTGTTTGGAGAAGTATACATATTCACAAAGTGCGTTGAAATCTGCAAAGGAGATAAAAATAAAACTTCTTGAATATTCAGTAAGCAGCTCCTGGTCTAAGATTCAGCATGGGATCCAGGCAATTGGTTTACCATGCTAATGAATATGCTGACTTTCTATTAGCCTAGTTTGAAGATTTACATTGTTCCATTACGAAACAGCTAATTTCTTTTTTTGTTCCTGACCAGAAGGCTGATAGCAATCAATTTTGCACAATAAAGACAGTGAGGAGTATAAGGGGGAAAGTGATATAATCCAATTGCTAAATATGATGGCTAGGTGGCACAAAGCTGTTTGATATAGGGTCTAAATTAAAGAAAGGAACTTATTCTCTCCTTTCTTCTGTTTATACTCCCGTCCATCACCATGTTCACACTATACTATCAATAATCTATTAAAACCCTGAAAATTATGAACATTCAATCAAAAACATTTCTTACCAAATAAGGGCAATAGCTTGCTACTTGTGCTGCCAGGACAAGGCCATCTTGGAGATCTCTATCAAAGTTTACTATCCATCTTGTAGGCGGTATATCCCCTATTTCAAATGAGGAGATTTCAGTGTTTCATTGTGGAAGTCTGTGGTCAGTTCTAACAAAATATCTGTATTTCTACCTTTACAAATGGCTATTAGGGGCTTACTGGGATGCTTCAGGTATGCCTATTCCATCATGCTTCCTTTAGAGTTCCTGGCTGATTGGTAGTTCCACTCTCTCCCAAATATTCCCTCACCCAGTAATTTACAGGTATTTCCATTGTCCCATGGGATGAAGATCACAAGATTCCCCATCACAACAAATCCTGCTTATGCATCTATAGACTGACAGGGTTAATCAAGCACATGAAAACATATGTAAACGAGAACTCAGGTATAAAAACTATCAAGTGGCAGAAGATGCATGGATACAAAGATGACATTGGACTACCTTTGGACTACGATAATAGCTGGAAGTCTTCCTTCCATTCGTGTTCTCAAAAAACATAGCAGTCAACTATGTGCTCATAATCTTATAAAATGTACACAGACATTTTGCTTTGTCATCACTAGGCAGGCACTGATTTTATATTAGTACTCTACATTTCCAGAAATACCTATGTAGATTTGCATAAGATGTCAAATTATTTGGTACTAGATCTTTAAGAAGCATATTATGATGTAAATGAAAGAACTGATTCCATTTACTGACACATGGCTAAACATATCTTTGCTTCATTATTTACTACCCTAGTCCTGAAAATTGTTTGCTTTCTTTGTGTATTTGTGAAAAGCAAATCAGTTTACTATAGGCTCCCTATATGTCTTAATTGACAATTATGTTATCCAGCTTTAATAATTAATACATTAACACTTTAGAATATTTACCAACCAATATTGCAGCAGCAATAGACTTAAGGGTAAACAACATAATGAATTAAAATGTAACCAAATTTCAAAACACCACCTTGGAAATCTTTAGTGCATTTAAACAAATAGAAAATTTTAGTAGCTAATAACTGAGTATGAGGACAGTGAGCAAATATTTCAAGCATTTTAAATCTCTCTATGCCTGACTTGTTATTAACACTTTGCCTAGTTGTTAATAACTGGCAACTAGAAATTGCACTTTACAGAGATTCCAGTTTGCAGCACATTCCATAACAAAAGTCTATTTTTCTATTTTAAAAACATCCAGGCAACATGCTAAGTTTTATGTTGACTGAAATTCATCAAGTATAAAATCTGTATACTATGTCTCCAGTTTTATTTTTCAAAGAAGAGTGGTTTTTTGTAATCCTTTTCAATCAAATCCAGTAAATTAAGAAAACAATTCTATTATTCATTTTTTAAAATTTACAATATTTATATCCTTCATTCTCCATAACCTGCCCCAGTTGCCTGCATTTGGAACTACCATCTTTGTCCTTGGAAAGAGCTCTTTCTTACTTACTTCTATTAGGGTTGCCAGGTCTTACCTTCATCCCGGTGGGTGGCTCCAGGCCGGCTCTGGGACTCCTCTGGTGTGTGCACAGAGCACACACACTGCGATGACATCACCCAGAAGTGACATCATCATGCTGGGCACGTTGTTCGGGGGACACCCTAGTGATTGGGTAAAAACAGAGTTTTTACCCGTGTGCTAGAGCGTCCCCCAAACATTGTGCCCAATGCAATGACATCACCTCCGGGTGACATCATCACACTGGGACTCTTTGGGGGTGGGGCTCCCCCTACCAGCCAGCTGGCCGCTATTGGGGGTTTGGCAACCCTAACTTCTATTGATGTTTTCCTTACCCTGAGTCTTATGGAAAGGCATGAAGTGAACCTGATTAACTGTTTGTAGGTTCCTTTTCCTCAAGCTGCAGAGTCCAATATACAGACTCATTGAATAATACTATGCCCACTTGGCTTACACAGATTTCTTCCACACTGTCATTTTTGCCACTCGTTTGTCCCTATTGCTTTGCCCTCCCCCCTTTTCCACATGTGTTTTGCTCCCTCTGGGACTACTAGAGAGAGCAAAACACATTAGGGGGGGACCCGAAGCGATAGGGACAAACAAGTGACAAAAATGACAGTGCGGAAGTGGCCTTAGTTTATCAAGTACATTACCTAGTACATTCCTGACTTGGTTATGCCACGCTAGCCTGATCTCCTCAAATCTTGGAAGCTAAGCAGAGTCAGCCCTGATTAGTTCTTGGATGGGAGACCACAGAGGAAGTCCAGGGTCACTACACAGAGGAAAGCAATGGCAAACCACCTCTGTTCATCTCTTGCCTTGAAAATCTATAGGGTTGCTATAAGTTGGCTGCAGCGATGGCACTTTCCACCACCACATTAACTGAACTTAATCTGTAGTATTAATGTAAAGACTGCTACATTTCCCCTCTGTTCTTGAACTTCTAAGGCACTTCTGCGTTCCATCTGGTGTTCACAAGATGCTTATCTACCTTTTAATATTTTTAACTCAATGGCTTCCAAGTGAATGCCGTAGGTACAACTTGAAGACACACCTCCTCCCATTGAAGTCAGCGGAACATTCTATACAAAGCAGAATAAGGGGCCTTTCCCTGGAAGATTATTTTTCTACCACCAAGTTTTGGTTGTTGTTTTTGAACATGCAGACTTAAGAGTTCTGAAGAACAAGAACACAAAAATTTACATTCTGTGCTGTGTCATTTTGGTTAGTCTTCGCTTTTGGAAATTAGCTGTTTGTATTTGCTCTAGAAGGCCAGCTCTCAGCCTTAAGCTGGTGCATCATTTGTGCATGGGTACATGTGAGGCTCCTAAGGCCCCCACCCCATGGAGACCACCATTTTTGCCATGGCTTGTTACCCTCGTCTCTGTACATGTGTTCACCTCAGTGAGGGTCTAGGCTTGATAGGAGTCTGAATTAAACCAATATTAAAAGGCAATGAGTCACATTAAGGCAGAATGCAGGGCAGCTCCTCTATCAATCATACAAATATGTACCCTAAGAAGAATGCCGTTGAGGGACATATCCCCCAAAGACCCTGGAACCTCTTACCAGATAATTTGATCCTAACTAATGACCCGTATCTCCAAAGCAGTAAGCAATAGGCTGATTCCAGCAATTTCCCAGCTCTCTCAATGACTGGTTTCCTGTCCTTCCCCAAGTATGACAAATACCTACCACAGATGTTTATCTATCTAACTTCCAAATCTCCCCAAGGGAACCTTTTTGATACTCTCAAGGCACTAGGGGAAAACTCCCCTCCACAATACAGACAAAGAATTTCTTTTCAACCTGTCCCCTCCTTCATCTCAGCAAAAGAGTACAGATATCCCTCAGTCCAATTTTTTTAGCCAGTTACCCCAGCGTATCAGCTGGCCTATTGCTTACACATTCCATGGACCTGTCTCCATGTCATCTTCTTCTGCCTAGTCAGTTTCATCCCCCAAGGCTGCTTTATCACTGCTGAAGACAAATCCCCCCTTCTCTACAAGAACAGGCTTGTATGTTTTGTTTCCCCCCTTTTAGTTTTATTTTCCAGTAGGTAGGCACTTTTCTAGAGAAATGTTTTGTATGTGTCATTTTGTATTGCTTTTTCTTTTCTATAATTTTCACTGCCTCTTTTTGTCTCTTTTTGTTTATTTTTTAAAAAAACTTCTGTTTAAGAGACTTTTCCCCTTCATTACTCCACAATGTAGATCTGAATACAGACCTTGGTATACACAAGCTTAAGATCCCAAGTATATTAAAATACATGGTTTTACTCCATGGCAGCAAAGGGATGTCGTTGTAGGTTATGGCCATGAGATGGGTAGGTTGATTTTGGGTAACAGGTGTGGGGAAGAAAAATGACTTTAGATAGCTGGGCCCAGCATTGCCTGTCAGCCAAGTAGCTCTCAAGCAGTTTCCTGGAGCCCACCTCCAGGGGCAGTGCATCACTGAAATGGTGGGGTGGCAGACCTGGAAGATGCATGCTTCTCTCTGGTCCATGGTTCATATTAAAAAGGAACAAACTGAAGGTGTGTTGGGCATTCAGGAACTATATAGTTGCCCTAAGAGAAAACAGCTTGGAAAAAGGCTTTCCTATGGAAGTTAAATGCTACACTAATGCTTATGGTTATTCAGCAAGTAAGGCAATTTATTAATGCTCAAAGACCAAATAATATAACAGAATTAACAACTAAATTCTGACCTAAGATCTAGTGACTCTGGGTCAGATTGGGGGGGGGGGGAGTACCTGCATTCATCTGCAAAATCTTGCACAGTTTTGTTCTAAGAGAATGCCTCTTTATCTTGTCAGTTAGGACCTGTGAAGGAAAACTTACAAAGAAAGGTTCCTCTCTAATTGTGGGCAGCAATCTACATGTCCTTGGGTGTTCTTTTGATGTGACATGACAAAAAATCATTCTGAAACATTTTTCATTTTGGTTTTCTTTTCTCCTTTTTTCAAACAATAGAACTGCTGGGATTTTAAATCTGTGTTTTCCAGCATCTGAGACTCATTCCCCCATCCTGTAAACTAATTTCCTAGGATGTTCTATGCCCTTCTTAGCATCCTATTCCTATATGGTATCCAATGCTAGTACAATTTGAGGCACAGACATTTATAAACTCATATGCAGTGGTTAATGGAGGAGTCCAGAAAAGATCCAGGATGCATACACATTGTCCACTATGTTCAATATTATGCTCATCACCTGCATTTAATAATGCAACAAGCACAACTTCAAATCAAGGATATGAAAGTACTCTGCAGACTTTTTTGGGTCCTATACATGTTCTGCAAAAAGGACTGAAGTTCTAGAGGTGTTAAGAAAAGATGACTCCCCAGATCATCTCAGACACACTGGAACTTCAATATCCAGACTGTAAATGGTGGTTGGGGGAAAAAACAGGAACATTCTTTATGCTAATAAGATCCTGGGATTTTGATCTTAGTGCTGTGCACAAGTCCAGGGTAATTCAACGGCTGGAATAATCTGGGGAAAAAACAGGAACATTCTTTATGCTAATAAGATCCTGGGATTTTGATCTTAGTGCTGTGCACAAGTCCAGGGTTATTCAACTGCTGGAAGATGTTGGAGAG